AGACCTGTTTGAGATGTTAGAATTGTCTTTGGTCGTCTTATTAAGAAAGACGTCAGATACTTTACAGTGAAGACTCTTGAGCCATGAACGCTTGACTCTTTTGTCTGCCTGTTTTTGATGATTATCCAATGAGAGCTCTTGAAATAGACAAAACAATTCCCATTTTTGTGGCGCTGTCCACTGAACCACAACATTGTCGGAACAATATTGTTTTAACTTTTCTTCGTGCCAACGGGCGCTTTCCATTCAACAAAAATCACCAGCTCAAACTTTCGGAATTTTCGCTGGTCGAATGGAACGCGTCCGACCGCATTCCAGAATTTGTGGTAACGTGCTCTGCAACGCAGGGCATGCTGGCTGGACTTTGTTGTGCTTCAAAATGGCGGCTTTTTAAACATTTACGCGGCGTTAGAACAAGATGACTCTTAAATGATGAGTTGTACCATTCTCGACAACAACAAAGATGCAATACTTCTGGTTGTAGTTGCCTGCTTTATGCGGAAAACATTAAATTGCGTTAATGGGTTCTTCGAAGTTACAAGTCCTGCCTATTTCCCGGTGGAGTTCGAGAACCTCTTCTGGATGACTAGAGAAACATGCGAGTGGTTGTCGCAAGAAATAATGTTAATGTACTTCGAGTAAGATAAGAAAGCATTACGACAGCCGTAACATACCGTTGCTGGTTGAAGCAGAAGAACTGCATTGATGCTGAAGGAAAAGACCCAAATCTTGAGACGAAGATCCACAAGCTAAGCACTGATACACTGGTGGTACTTCGCCCGCCATTCCTGTTTTCCCATGTACCTACGTGAGCTCAGGTTCGGCAGGAAGACCAAAACATTTGACATTTGTCGCAAATGGAACTCACACGTTTTGATGATTCTGGATATTCCATCCAAGAGGGCACACTATTCCTAAATTTTCGAAAATTTATCCCAGAACTTTTCCCGTTCCATTGGATTTCAGACCGGAAATCTCGAAAATTTTGGTCGAATGGAAAGCGCTCGTTGAACGTCTCGGCTGTTTAGGATGAATTTTTTGAACATGAAATGAAATGGCCTGTGTCCCCATAAATTATGCCGGTAAGTACAATTTGGTTCACTAACTTCAAGCAGTTTTCTGGGTTTCTGATGGTGCTTAGTGTTTTTTTTTTTTATTTTCGCGAAGGTGAATTTAAACTAGGTGCCAAGCGACAGTAAGGAATATACGATAATGGTAAAGCTCTGCCACAAGTTTATCGGGAAAGAGTACTTGACTTGCGCCATCAAGGCTTTTCGCAAAAGCAAGTTTCACAAAACATGCGAGTTAGCGTGGAGTATGTAAATAAAGTTGTTCAATTGTAACTCCTCCTTGGCTAAGCTGCTGTTGTTGAATATTTTGAAACCGAGAAATTAAGTAAATTTACTGTTCTCCTCGTGGTCATTTGCCATCTCAGACAGAATAACACAGAAAAAGATTTCCCAAGTACCAAAAGAGTCCTTGTCACACGCGAATACGGACCATACCGATTATTCTCTTTACCAAATTGGACAACGCGACTATACGTAGCTTCGTTTTTTTGATGAATGTAGTGTCATTGTAACATCCAGAAATCGAGTGTATGGTAATTCCTATATTGGTGAAACTGCGATTGAAATTCAGCGCTATTTCTCCTGCTAATTCAATATCATACTTCAGAAACTGCGGCTACGTCTGATTGACAGTTTTCAGTATTCTGTTATTATTTCTAGCTTGCCCTAGAGAAAAAAACAAACTCGCCCTTGCCGCTAAAACAGTGCAAATCTGCTTGATTGAGCTGAAGACAAATTTGTAAAACAAGTAGAAGACAAAGCTGAATAGAAACTGTCCCTTCATAATATCATAAAAGTAAAACTTTTACGGGTACAGTTTAAACCGTTATTGACGGTATAGTACAGTAAAATTGCAATGTAAGCAAAATTGAGACCTGGCATTTCCTTGAATGAATTAAAAAACACAACAAGTAGGAACACAAACGAAGCACGTCAAATTGCAGTATATAAATACTGGGTAATTGTAACATTTTCATTTGTACTCTACAATTACATTAGGCAATATCCTGTAATGGAACTCTATTTCTGAGTGCTCGTTGAAGATTCATTAAATCCCTATCCAAGGCAGAACGACTTATGTACCTCGCGGGGTTTTGTTTTCTCAGCCGTGGACGCGTGATAGCAAAGATACTTGACTTAGCTCATTGGCGGGGAGCGGTAAATACTTCGTGGTCGCTTTTAACTTTCGCATACTTTTGTTTAAGTTTTCTCAGTTCAAGCTGTAATGTTCTAATTTCGGTCAATAATTCTGGGTGCTTGTCCTTGAGGTTGCAAGAGTTGACGTCGTTTCAAGGGGTTTTCTTACAATCGGTCCTATTGTGGCCGAACGTATGGCAGGTTCCAAATCAGCTACGGCTGCCTGAATCTTAACTTGCATTACTAAATAAATTATGTTACGCATCTTACGTTATGTTATGCTATTTATGGTTACAGTAGAAGTTGTAGCATGAGCTTGTGCCCCAGTTGAGCCTACTATGGGGGTGTGCAGCATATTCTGGCTTGGGTTTGGTGTTACCCTTGAAGTTGAAGCATGAGCAGGTATCAAAGTTGGACCTATTTCAGTAGTATGAGGTAGTCTCTGTACGTACAGGATTTGCTATTACAGTTTAAGCAGCTCAGGAGGGATACCCTGTAGGTTTTGTTACTAGATCTGGTAATATTGCATGACTGCATGATTCAAATGGTTGTCTAATTACCCATTATTACTCATTACTTACTTACACTTTGTAATCGTCTACCCAAGAAATCAAGTCGAGTTACTTCAAATCTTACCTTTGATAGATCAGGCAGCAACGCTTTGTTTGGCCTTACGCGCACAAGCCTGTTTTTGAAAAAGCGATGTAAAATAACCCCCGTAATTCCTTCCTGACGTGGTGCAAGTGTTGGCTTTAGAGGTTATTATGGACTGACCTAAGGATTTCTGTCCATAGTCTCTACAAGGCGAAGTATGGTTTCCTCAAACACCTCCATGATGGTGGTCTTAACTTGTACTTCGTTCATGGCTTTAAAAATGCATTGAGAACATGGCCGTGCTCACTCAATGCCACCCTCGGTACAACATAGACTGTTGGGCCAGCAAGTAATATAAAATCGCTTAAGAATGGAGTTGTGATCTTGACCTATTTTTCCTGTTGGCAGTACCAACTCATTTCATGTTTGTCATTTGTCTAAGATGCGAGGAACGGGCAGAACTTGCATTGTGATTGGCACTCCAGCTTGGAACGTTGTCTACCATGCGAGCGTCCAAAAGCACCAAATGTTTCCTATTAACATTTGATCGAGTTGTCTGAGAGATTTGTTCTGATAATACTCGAACTTCCTCAAGAAGTTGACGCAGTTGCTGTTCTGATTGCTGCACCCGACACCAACGAACAAAGACGCTCCGAGAATGAGAAAATTTCTTGCCAAAATACACTCCGCTGATTAACTGTTGCTCACCGGCTCAGAAAAACCAATCGATCATCTTGCATAGTGATTTCTTTCTCTCGCAACAATTTCTCATCCTTAACAGTCCATATTTATTTCTCGGTATATTGCTACATCAGTCTTTTTCTCGATTAACGCTTTTTCATTCTTAATGGGTAATTTAAAATCTCGTGTAAAACTTCTTTATTCTCGTAGTGATTTCGCAATCTCGCCTATCTCTCACTGAAACTCGAGAGGGAATTTTGAACTCAACCCCTTTTGTCATGTTTGGCTTGCCATAAATTAAATGCCATGGTGGTGAAAATAAAAGAAAATTTCTCGAAATTCAGTGTGGGAGAGTGAAAATTATTTGCGGGAGAAAGGTATTCAGCTAAGTGATGGCAGCATAGGAAACAAAAGCAGAATTGTTCGATTTAAACAAGAATGCTGCAGCAATGAAGCAGGTCCAACTAGCTTATTCTGCCAAAGACCGCAAAAAAACTGTTGAAGGAGACATTACAAACAAGTGAGGGCAAATTTCCAGTACCAAAGGGTTTGATTGCTCGGACCTACCACTTTTCTAACATTCCATAGCTCTCGTTCGGCATCCGTATGAATGCAGCCTTGTCTCAGTTGTTTTGATGTGATCATTTAAACATTGTTTTATGTCTTGCTCTATTCGTAGCATAGGTTTACTATAGTTTGCGAAATGAAACGAAAGAATGCTGCAGCAATGAAGCAGGTCCAACTAGCTTATTCTGCCAAAGACCGCAAAAAAACTGTTGAAGGAGACATTACAAACAAGTGAGGGCAAATTTCCAGTACCAAAGGGTTTGATTGCTCGGACCTACCAATTTTCTAACATTCCATAGCTCTCGTTCGGCATCCGTATGAATGCAGCCTTGTCTCAGTTGTTTTGATGTGATCATTTAAACGTTGTTTTATGTCTTGCTGATTCGTAGCATAGGTTTACTATAGTTTGCGAAATGAAACGAAATTGAAACATGTACTTTGTGAAATGAACTCAAAATCTGTAATTTTCCGAATGGAAATCTGTAATTCTGTAGTTTACAAAATGAAAATCTGTAATTTGGAAAACAAGAGGTACAGTACAATGGCTACCAGCCGGATGAATTGGTCAAAACTTTTTAAAGTATTTCTTTTATTATGGGTATATCCTACCTTGAAAGAAATTTCCAACGGACATAAAAAGTATGAATTCATTTAAATGAATGCTGTAAGCCTTTTATAATTTAGAAACTCTTTTTTATAATCCAACAAACAGCGCAGTGTAAGTTCATAGAAAGAATTTATAATCCAACAAACAGCGCAGTGTAAGTTCATAGAAATAGGAATTAGAGGGCCATACATTTTAAACTTATTTCTAATGAAAATATTCATCTTTTTATTAAAATCAAATTTAAGTTCAGTTATTTAATTCTTTTTAATGTATATACGTCTGCAACGAATAAGGTAAAGTAAAGTTTAACTGACCGTGTTTTACAGATGTGAATGGGTTATAAGATGTATGAACCAATTCCCAGTTCAGAAGTTGCGTTAAGGTTCATGCAGTATTCCAAAGACGCCCAGGAAACTTTAAAGATCCCAGTCTTGCGCGTCCACGATGACCTGGCAGCCTACTCTTTCTGCCCCCATGTTTTAAACTTATTTATGGCCCTTGGGTTTGAGAGCTATGTTAGGAGATGCTGTTTAGGTTATGGTGCTCTGCGGAATGTAGAAGGAGGGGGAAACAAAACATTTGTTTTCACTGATCTTCAAACCTCGACAGACGATTGAAATAATTTTTTTTTACTTCAATATCAATCTGCTGTGTAGAAAAAAGCTAAAAAAAAAAAGCAAAAGAAAAAAGCTAAATGGCCGATAATGAGGTATCACTTAAAGGCTGGTTTTTATTTATATCAGAGTTGGCGTCAGAGTCAACTCTGATGTTAAATTTTCACTCGATCGGAAGTGCTCTTACCACTCTGACTCCGTTGGTAGTGAAAACCAGCCTCAAACAAATTGGAGAGAAAGATGTTCCGAAAAGATTATTTCTTTTTTTCTATAGTTAGTTTAGGGATGAACCGTGGGCAAAGACCGGAGGAGCATTTGCAATAAAATTCATCCACGGTCAAACTTAGGGCAATCCATCGAGCTACGTACGCATTTCTTAAGTTTCCAATCAGTTAAGCCAATTTTTAAATAAAAACATTATCTACATTTGATTATATGGATATTTTGAATAAGATTAAAAGTAGAAAGTTTTATGCAAATCAGAATCTTTATGAAGAAAGAAACTTTTTGCCCGTTTATGATCACTAGAGTATTTCTCCTTTCTTCCCATTAAAATTATTTTTTTCTCTTTTCATTTTGGAGGGTAGGCGAAAATTTGCAAAATAGGAAAAAGTTTAAACCCAACGACAAAGCTGGAGAGCAAGAGAAGAGAAATCTTGGCATTGTTTATCAAAATTTGAGCGATTTTCATAGGGCCATCGAGTTTTATGAGCGCCATCTGCAAACTGCAAAAGAAGTGGGCAGCAAAGCCGGAGAAGGACGGGCTTATGAAAATCTTGGTAATACCTATCAGAGTTTAGGTGATTTCCATAGGGCTATCAAGTACCACAAGCATCATTTAGAAATAGCAAAAGAGGTGCGGGATAAACCTGGAGAAGGATGGGCTTATGGAAATCTTGGCAATGCTTATGATAGCTTAGGCAATTTTCATACGGCAATTCAGTACCATGAGCGTCATCTACAAATTGCAAAAGAAGTGAGGGATAAAGCTGGAGAAGGACGGGCTTATGGAAATCTTGGCATTACCTATCAGAATTTAGGCAATTTTCATAAGGCAATCGAGTACCATGAGCGTCGCCTAAAAATTGCACAAGAAGTGAAGGATAAAGCTGGAGAAGGGTGGGCTTATGGAAATCTTGGCATTACCTATCGGAGCTTAGGCGATTTTCATAAGGCAATCGAGTACCATGAGCGTCATCTACAAATTGAGAAAGAAGTAGGGGATAAAGCTAGAAAAGGACGGGCTTATGGAAATCTTGGCATTGCCTATCAGAGCTTAGGCAATTTTCATAAGGCAATCGAGTACCAGGAGCGTCATCTACAAATTGCAAAAGAAGTAAGGGATAAAGCTGGAGAAGGAAGGGCCTATGGAAATCTTGGCAATGCCTATCAGAAGTTAGGTGACTTTCATAAGGCAATTGAGTACCATCAACGTGACCTAAAAATTGCAAAAGAAGTGGAGGACAAGGCCGGAGAAGGAGGGGCTTATGGAAATCTTGGTAATGCCTATCAGAGTTTAGGTGATTTTCATAAGGCTATCGAGTACCACGAGTATCATCTAGAAATAGTAAAAGAAGTGCAGGATAAAGCTGGAGAAGGACTGGCTTATGGAAATCTTGGCAATGCCTATGATAGCTTAGGCAATTCTCGTAAGGCAATCCAGTACCATGAGCTTCATCTACAAATTGCGAAAGAAGTGGGAGATAAGGCTGGAGAAGGAGGGGCTTATGGAAATCTTGGCATTACCTATCAGAGTTTAGGCGGTTTTCATGAGGCAATCGAGTACCATGAGCGTCATCTACAAATTGCCAAAAAATTGGGGGATAAAGCTGGAGAAGGAGGGGCCTATGGAAACCTCGGAAATACCTATCGGAGCTTAGGCGATTTTCTTAAGGCAATCAAGTACTATGAGCATCATCTACAAATTGCAAAAGAAGTGGGGGATAAAGCTGGAGAAGGACGGACATATGGTAATCTTTACTATGCCTATCAGATCTTAGGCGATTTTTATAAGTCAGACCTAAAATTGTCCTAACAAAATGAAAAGATGCATTTTTGTTTTGTGTATTGCATCCACATTAGAAATTTTAAAGCCATAAAATTCTGTCAACACGTGACCTAATTTGCCAAGGGATTCCATCTCCAATTTCCAAGATTTATTCTAAGCTGTTTTGAAATTTTAGAATCCCAGAGTTTTGCAAGAAAAGACTATTTTTGCCTTTCTAGTAGACTGATCTTAATTCAATTACACACTGGTCGTACCTTTTGTGACATTTGATCGACAAGTTCATCACGGTTTTGTTTAGTTTAGTCGAGTTTTTACCTGGACAAACTTTTTCGGTGATGAGCTTCAGATTTGTTTTTTCAGAATTTGTTTAAATGAACAACTTTTACGCTATAGCGGGAAGGCCTTACGTTGAACAATTTTGATTGAACAGGTTTTGGGAATTGAGTGGTAGTAAGATGTCTTTTATATTGTGTACTGAAAACAAATACCTCAAACAAATAATTTCCCTAGCTAATGAGGAGGTAAAAAAATTGGCGGATAAAGAAGATGCAACAGTAGACACTGAAGACAATAAAAAGACTTTGATCAAAAGGTATGTTTTTCTTCAATAACTTACTTGTTTGCCTTTCCCTTGTTTTTTGTTTGTTTGCTTTTTCTTTATTTGTCATGGAATCACAGACCATTGGAAAGAGCAGGGTTAGAGAAGGTAAGAGATGTGGTCTAATGGCAACTTCTGACAAAGGAGCAACCCTCCAGACCTCTTTATAAATGACAGTTACTTTACTTTCTTTTCTTTTCTTTTTAATCTTCATCATTTTTCACCTTTACATTCATGTTCAAATCGCTGGTGATCCTTACAATCTGATTGGCTCTTATTGGCCCGACTTATTGATGAAATGCACCATTTCTTTCTCTAAACTGCATCGATTTCCCAGCCAATGAGAACGCTCTATTAAAATACAACAACAAATCAGATTTAACAGATTTTTTAAGAAATCAATCAAGTTGCAGAAAAAGGAAAGACAACTTTTGCAACTTTTTACACACCAGCTTAGTGCTGGATCAATAATATACCTGTACTTGTGCAGGCTTAAAAATATATTTATTTAGCAACTGAATTTTGCAATTTTGAAATGAATGTAACGAGTGGGTAATTGAAATTTGTACCGTGCACTTTGGGTCTGAAATCATACCCATCTGCTGCTGCACACTCCTTTGATTTAGATGTCACGCATAAGATTTCACACTAAACTGTGCTCCATCTAGTTCAATTACCACTATTAAATAAACATTATGTTCTACTGGTATTCACTATTATTTGTTTTCAATGTTTCCATCAATGAAGTAGCACTTAGTTATTACGAATGATAGTGAATCGTTTTAATAAACGTTTTGATTTATATTTCTAATTTGAGTCTATTTGAATAAAAAAATAAATTGATGGAAAAATTTCTTTATTCAGCTGGCTTAATAATGTTAGAGCCATTTTTTTAATTTTGTGTAAATTGGATTTTTGAGGAACAACCTTTAAGTTTTTCATATATTAATTTAGTAAACCAAAACAGGAATCTTAGTTTATTATTGGGATTAGCTAATTCAAAATAGTTTTTTTTTGTATATTATGCTTTAATTACTGACTAGAACAAAGTTAAAGAATAAGAACGGTTATTAGATTTAGGTTTGAGGTTAAGTGCCAATATCTGATTTACTCTTTCAAATTGCAAGTTTGCTACTCCTATTTTAAATGCCTTTGTCATTGCTTACTCCTCTTGGGAAAAATTATCTTCAAATGCTGCATGATCAATTTTCCTGTGTATTTCAGTGGAGAACTTGGAGGAGAGGAAGACACCTGGCACCTGAGGGAAGCTGGCGCCTCTATCAAACTTAACAGTGAAGCTGTCCAACAACCCTTGCCGTTTACATGTAGATGCTTATTGTGGAACCCCAGGAGCCTCTCCCTACCCATTGCCAGTGATGAGATATTGGTTAGCAGTGTTATTGAACTATCTCATGATGGCCCACCAGATCTGGAGTACAGGGAAAGTGTGGAGGGGTTAAGTTTTACTGTAGCTTTGTTGCACAGTGCCCCAAATTTGGAGGAGTATGAGGTGGTTATCAAGCAACTGACTGACGAAGAGAACAATGAATGGAAGGAATTGAAGACAGAGAATACTTGGCATGGATCAGGTACCGTTATGTTGTTATTAAATACAGGTGTGAATAACTTAGTAAGTGATATTCTCAAGCTTCCCCCTTCATTGGCATCAATGTCAGAATCTGAGCGATTGTAGACTTCATGTAACGTTTATGCATCATCTCCTAACTCAAAATTAATCCGAACTTGGAATCTGAACTTATCAGTTGGCTGTTGTTGGCTTAGGCGAGTAGTAGGTGTGCAATGACTCAGATACTGACATTGATCCCAGCAATGCGTGGCCTGCTGCACTCTTAATGTCAAAATACACTTCTTGCCACTTCATGTGCGTTACAAAATCCAATGGCTTTTTTTAAAACTTTGTTTTCGTTTTACCTGTAGTTGCATCCAAGCAGTACGTGTAATTATTGCATAAACGTTACATGAAGTCTACAATGCATTTTAATCACATTAGCTTGTTTGAAGACTTTAAAACACAGCTGAAGGAAGCAATTTCAACCGTTATTTTTATTTTCATATAGAAACTTCAACAGTTCCCAGGTGGCTTTTCCCATTTGCACAAGCTGTTTGTACTGAATCAAGAGTTTCTTCATTTGCTGCAATCTGGCGTCCTAGGTCTTTCATCTTTACAAGAGGTACTACAATAAGTCCGGAATTGACCTGTATTGTGCCTGACTTTCCTGATGTCAGTGTTCAAATTCCTCAGAGTTGTGTTCCTGTTGATCAAGATTTCTGTGTGACAATCCAGGTACATGAAACTATATAATTGTATGCATGTATGAGTTCTGCAAGGTTTTCATTTTCAAGTTTTGAAACTGTTATAAGATTGGTGTGAAGGGATTGTAAAGAGCATGAAGATAAAACAACGGGGTTATAAGAGTACAGCCAGTACCCTCAGTTACTTGCAATACACTCCATGAACTTAGTGGCAACATTGATGGAAAGAGAGATATTAAAAACTTTAACTAAATTATAGGACAGTTGTTCATGTGCTTACATGTGTATAAAGATACATGTAATGATGTTCAATCAGTAGTTTTGGTAGCTTCAAATTATTTGTGGTGGTACTGTCTTCAAATGTACTCATGGATCCTGGTAATTACCTCTGTAAAAATTAGAATTTGGAAAACTCGCTATTTTTTTGCTTAAATATAAATTGACCTCTGATTTATCTGCCAAAGCCGGAGATAACACAGAGATAAGGTCTGATGAGTTATAATATTGTGTAAAAACGAAACTAAATTATTGTTTTATTATACATCTTATAAACAAACTGCAAAAGAAGACACTCCTCTAAATTTGCAAAAGTTTAATAGCACTGCACAGACAGAAGGCATGGAAGCTAGGAAGAGGTTGAACTCGACATGATAAATGCAATACCTGCTGCAGATATTGGGTAATCATGTTAACTTCACACGATATTGAATATTGATTGAGTGCTTTTGACCAATCAGAATTTTTCATAGTAAGTCCAATGTATACATCTTTTTATAATAGTGCTCTTATCATTGCAACATAAAAATTCAGTAGACAAGACATTAAGATTGTATACTATCTTTAGAACATTAGATTTCATCCTGAAGTTCTCTTTTCATTATGTAAAGGATGCAAATGAACTTTATGCTGGGAGTAGTTTAGCATGTCCAATTTAACCTGTTTGCTTTTGAATCAAGGTACAAGAATTTCCAAGCAGTGAGCTTAAAGGAGAGGGAGGATTTGTCGGTCCAGTTCTTAACATTTCAGCCTCTCAAAATATTGCTCTCATCGCGCCCGTAACAATAAGTATTCCTCTCACCCTCCGTAAAGGAAAACAAGAGTTGACAGAGTTATATACTGGCGAGCTGAAGATATTACACTGTGAGTCACTAGTTGAACCACATGAATGGAAAGACATTACAGATCAATTGGATGAACCGCCTCGTCTTCTAGATGGGAAAGTGCTATTCAAAGTTCGGCATTTCTCTAGGTAAGTATTTCTTGTCGGCTCTATTTGAAAATAATACGCAAGACGTAGAGGAAATTTAACAGTATTTTAGTGTACAGTCATACATGCATGTATTTCATTTAGTTAAATATAGATTCAATAACTGAAATGATCACTCGAGTACTTACGTAGACTCAAGATTACTGTGCAACGGGTGATAATTATTTCCGTTGGGTAGCTTGAGCTGTATGTTGTTTTTCCTTTTTTTTATAGATTCCGCCTAATCAAGTTGACCAGATCACTTTTACAATCTGCTTCAGGCTTCATAGAGTTTGTAAAAAAACTTTGCAGTAGGTCTAGGCCTCAGCATGCCCGATTTTGTACGTGCTTGCGTAAGACCTCTGTTCGTGGACATTTTGGACTCAAAATTTTCTGCTATCCTCCAAGCCTGCAATATGATGTAAGCAGGCAAATATCAGAATCTTTAGTGCCCTACAAAGACGAAGGCAGCTCTTTAAGACCAGTGTGTGAAGATGAGAAAATTTTGGTGTCTCTTTCTGAGGCAATCATACCCCAAGGCACAGACGAGAAAAATGCCTTACAATTTGTGAGGTATAATATAATATAATTTATTTTTTTTGGCCCATCGAGTACATGGATTTAATTTTATACCTCTAGATACAGTCATTCAAGTTCAGATTCAGTAAGGCTCTCGTCAAATTTGCTGTCATTTTCGATTGTCAGAAGAGAGTTCAAAGATTGTGCTTTTCTAGACAAAGACTCGGCTAGTGTAGAGTACGTTGGGTTTGTTTCATCTAATTTAATTTCATTTATAACAGATTCCACCAGGACAAAGTTTTTAACACAGGTGGTGAAGTTTGCTTAGGAAGTGAGAGTGTTCCAGGAGTGAAGTTTTTCGACCAAAGTGGTGAACTTTTGTGCAACATGACCATAGTATTAGCATCTCAAGTAGGTGACATTTTACGGTTTGTGGATTTGCTTATTAAATGCACTTTTAGCCCAGAGCTAATATATTACTGATGCCAACCTTACTATAGTAGATGACAGTGAACTAAAAGGATTAGCAATTCTGTAACCACAGGAAGCTCAAGCTGTAACAGTCAGATGATCATCTTGCGAAATAAGAGTCATGGCGAAATTATGAGTTTGTATGGGAATAATTACGACCACTCATAGGAAATAAAAATACAATCCAATTCTCAATAAAAACATCTCACCTTACCTCCAAAGTGCATTTCTTGTTGTCTCACCGCTTACCATGTTAGAAAGAAACCATTTTAGCGAGTTCTCCATTTCGAGGTTTGCTACTCCTACGAGTAGTGTATCTTTAAGAGACACTAGCTTGGCAGCATGAGTTCTCGATACACTGATATTAATGTGTTTACTCTCCCTACAAATATTGTTGCTCGCTAGTGTTTCTTACACGCTTAATATGAAATTTATCATGACTGGGATAAGTTTTGCTGTATTCATCTTGCCAAAACAAATCCGGCAAATACCTGAGAAAACAAAGCGGCCACACCAGGATCCGGTCTTCTGGTCCTTTAATCAAGTATTTTTTTGTTTTTGCTTTATACTTTTCTTATACCAGTAGTAATCTGGAGGGAAAGAGGCATCTTCTTGAAAAACAGTTTTTTGGGGTTAAATAAGCACTGCTGAGTCAATAACAGTCTCACAAAATTCGCCATCAAAAGGTTTGCGACTATGATAATGAGGTCATTTTGAGGCGGCACGAACCTTGTTGAGAACCAATCTCTGAAAGCAAAAGAGTGAGAAATGTCGAATAGGTAAAGAAATTTCCTACCCACAGGAAACAGTTCATGAACATATAGGATCTTGCAAGTTCTTGAGTTAGTGAACACTTTTATTTTTCAGTTGCTTTGAAGTCACTTTCTATGCCTCTGCCTTTTTACTTATTTATTTGTCCTTTTTCTTTTTTGGTAATTTTCTTTGTTACCTCATTTCTGTTCACTTCATTCGCACCCGTAATATTGCAAATTTTCCCTCCTCCATCTAGGTTCCTGTTCCTGTCACCTCTGACTTTGAAGAAGGAAGTGGTCAGTTGTTGTTTTTATTGTTAGTTTTGATGTTCGAATAAATGCAATTTACCAGACCAGTCATCATTGTTCTAAAATATGCAAACTCCGAAATGCAGGCTCTGTAGGTTTTGAAAATGTAGCATCTACTAACAAAGCACGTGTTCTCAACGGAAAGTCATAATAACCTGTCTTACTTCATGTGTCAATAAATCGGGAATGCCCCCTTCACGTTCAACAGTGATGGCTTATTGTCTCTGTTACGTATCAGTAAACTCGATCCAGACCTTCACGGTGCGTATGTCCTTCCTTGTAAGGAATTTGATATTGGAAACGAGTAAAGCGCAAAACAGCTTGGGAAAGACACAAAGAAGTGTAATTCTCCAAAAAATTATTCCGTTGGTTATATCGTTAAAATAATGGAGTAACTCTAACAAATCCTTTGCAACCTGTTATTGCTTTTCAAATGAAATCTTAGATCGAATATGTTTCTTTATAACAGCACCCTTTGTCAAATTTGTCAATGCTCATTGTTACTCAGAAGGGAAATCGATAATACTTTCTACTCCAAGTTGTGAATACTGGGTCTTACCCGGACGATCACAGTCCAGGATCACCACACCATCGTTTCCGAACCATATGCACCATAAAACTTGCTTTAGTTCTCAACCCAACCATCTCATTAACTCCATTAACAGAGTCATCGCCATGCAGCCCTAGGAAGAGGAAACGCCAATCTGCAGGTAGTACCGAGATTGAAGATGTTGCAGTGGATTTTCCTTTTTATTGAATTTTTTTAAGGTTGCATATTGCTGTTCATAGTTTATCTATGGTAAAATTTGTTTATTGTTGTTTTATGTTTATTTGTTAATGCTAGAAAAACTGGCATTATATTCATTACACATCCTAGGTATAACATGAAGAGAATAAAAAATAACGAATTAAAACTGAGCGCTATCACTAATCCAACACCCGTGTATCTTGAACAACTATCACCTATTCCAGCATTAGCGGCTGGAGACTAGCTAGGAGACGTTGTTAATGACCTCCATTTTCAAGATGCTTTCCGAGCCATACGAAAATAAATAATGAGTCAGAAAACACGTTTTTCTTTGATGGGTTGGAAAAATGGTTCCCCTGCTGCTGCAAATGTCTCCTCTCCCAGGCGTGAAGTCTTTAAGTCCAACGATTCGGTATTGAATGGTACCCAAAAGAGAAATGATAGAGCCTTGAAGCACTCTTTTCCTAAGTTTTTATTGTCCCTCCATTGATATTCTCAGATTTCTATATGGTTAAAGATGGTATACCATCAGATCGCGAGTTACAAGAGCTGTCTCTGAAACTTGGAGAAAAATGGAAGGAATTGGGAAGCTGTTTAGGATTCGACAACGCTGCCATAACTAACTTGAATGGAGACAATGAGCAGTTGGCAAGGAAGGCTTACCGTATGTTATTGGATTGGAAACAAAAAGAAGGCTGCCAAGCCACTTACACGGTTTTGTACAATGCCTTGTGTGACAAATTGGTGGAGTGTAAACTTCTAGCAGAAAACTTTTGTTGCGTTGAGGTTGAAGGCAATGCCTCTCCTTAGTCTTATATTATAAAAAGTGAGTCGTTTCTCTACAGGGGCGTAGCTAATTGTACGCACGGTACGCACGTGCGTACTTAAAAAAGTCGAAAGTAAAAAAATAAAACACGAAAGTGAAAAACAACAAAAAAGCATAAAAGAGATAATTGTTTTAAAAAAGCAGTTTGCCTCAACTCATTTAACCGTGGTTGTTTTTGTATGTTTTTTTTTTAAATGTATATTTTCTAAATATAATCAGATTGTCTTTAAGGTGCTGCAGTCAATGAATCGAAGAAGACGACAAAAAATTTTTACAACTTAGTCATCATTTCATATACAGTAAAAAAGTTAGGCTCACAATGTAACCTCGCCTTTAGTCAAGTCACCTGAAAAGGATTTGGGACTTGGGGGTTGGGGGTGGGAGGGATTCGAATAATTATGGATACCTTTTGAAAACTCCTAGTTACACCTCTGCTCTAGTACGTCATATGTCTTTGTGAGTACTCCAAATAGCGTTTGTATCGAGCATTCGCGCTCAGTAAGTCGTTCATTTTGTCTTGCGCTCGAAGATAAGGAGAAAATTAGCTTTAGAGTATAGATATTTACACGTATTTTTGCAATCAAGAAACGCTGGCCAAAGAACATTGAGGTCGGAATTCATTCGAATGTCCAGCACATGTTATGCACATTACCACCCTGAAGCATCTAATTTAATTCCTCACAGTTTAAAATTAGAATGCATTTTCTCCTTACTGTTCTCTGTGCATTTCCTAAGGAATGGACATAAATAATTACATAAATAATTATTTTAAAAGTCAAGAGTTTCTTAAGTTGGTGATCAGTTACTTTATGCTCATGTTCTTAATTTCTGTCTCAGGACCCTGTAAGGAGAAATTAGATGCTAGACACTGTTTGAGTTGAATTAATCGTTTGTGGTGAGCTTGAAGTAACAGCGTAATTTTGCATAGAGTGAGATTCCCCCTGTGCTAGTCTGGTGGATAAGCATAAAACATATAATGGCCTTATTACAGAATAAAATTTGGAGATGCTGAGCTGTCATTTTGATCTTAAAAAGTGTGAAAGGTCAACAAAAATCAAATACACAATTTCTTTTCCTGAGGCTTAGCTCCCATGATTCTTTGTGATTCACAGAGATTTGGCCCCATTGAAAGTTCAACAATTGACAAGTTGTTCGAGTTGTTCCCTTTAAATATGATATAGATTTACATAGCCGAACCTAGAAGTGAACTCTACTCAGTTCATTTTTCAGCCCTTCAACTTACTAAAACTCCTAAGCACTGGCTTTCGAAGAGTTAACGAGATGTGGAACGGAGGGACGATATTCTCACAACTTGCAAAGCGATCAACATAGCAACATGCATGCTAGTCAGCGGTATTTTCAAGCAGCTGAAGACCTTTGTTGATGTTCCTAATGGTTGAACGGATTATCCAGGATATAGAATGTTTTCTTCAGATATCATGTATTATTTCAGTATCGGTTGAAATGATATTTTGTTGCACGTGTTTGTTAATTTCGGTTGAGATCGAATGAAACGACGGTAAACGACTTTGAGTTAAGATCTAGATATCACCGGTCCTTTGAAGGGTTTACACGCAAGATCAATAATCAGTGAAACAATGTGCCAGAATCGTATTGGCATCTCTTATACTTTCTCTTGGTGTCGCCATTTACGACTGTTTACTTCAACGGTTTTTCTCTAACGTGTCAAACTCCTCTGATAACCGTAAAAAATTAGAGAGAAAAGTCACTTTTAACTCGTGTTCCTGTTTAAATCCTCCTCTATGCTGTAACTGCATAATTATACCAGTGTAAATGCCTGTAAACCAAATGTCCACTATCCTGGCAACTCTAGCTACTGAAACACTAAAGTTGTCTACCATCTATTTCTTGCGCTGCGAAAGTTTGATTTTAACGAAGACAAGCTAAAACTGGAATATATTTGTTCATTACAAAAATTGATCCAAACATCAATCAAGTTTTGTATTTAGTTTTAAAATTGTGTCGCTGTTGTTATTGGCCTATAAAAGAGGTTCAAAAGTCCTAAATGGTAGCCTCCATGAATTTCAATCCTACACTTTCCAAAACAGTCATCAGAAGAACTACAAATCTTATGAGAGATCAAACGAAGCTTCCGGGATTTGTTTCAGCTTTGAATAGTGAATAGACAAGATTGACAGGAAAGAAACCTGTTGACGCAATCAGAGAAAAGACGGTTGACGCGTAGAATTCAACGACTTATTTAAGACCAGTCGGCCTGAAGGAAGAGAGACTCGATTCCTCTAAAAAATTTGAGATATCTCTTTGCCCCCGGTGAGATGGAAAGTGATCAAAGAAGGCTAACAGATTCAATCTGGTCTTTGAAAGTCTACAATATCGAGCGATTAAGGGTGAATGAAAGGAAGCCTGTTCTCTATTATCTAAAAAGATAGTCCAAAGTGTGCATTCGTTGAAGAAGAGCTTCAGATTGTTCCTCCTGGAACTGAGCTGCCTCCTGAAGGAATCCGTTGATTTGAAAAAAAGACTATTACAAAATGAGTTTCTCAATAGTCCCAAGCAATCTTGGTGACACAGTTAAGGAAACTGATAAAGATATTAACAATACTAAATCGTCAATCTTGCCAATGCAAATGACACCGAACAAGAAGTATGTTGATGAAAAAACAGAAACAATCCATTTTTTGTCAAAATATGTAGGAAGAAGTCTTTTCGTTGAGACATTCATAAAAAAAGCAACATGCTGGTATCACACAGACCACAACTCAAACAGTGATGTACATCATCAAAACAAATTTGTGTCACTTCTTTCGATCTATTAGGATTGAACAACCATGCAACACAAAACAAACAAATTCACGCCGACCGAGAATATCTTCTTCAAAAAAACAGTGGAAGACACTTTTTCTCTTTCGCTGAAGACAGAGTCTTCGATCTCCCTTTCAAGTTTTCCTTTTCTCTTTCGCATGGTCTTTCTGTCTCTGCGCATGTTGTTTTGAATCAAAATAGATAGTCGTTAAAACGAGTAAGTAACAAATTGAAATATTCTCTGATTGGAAATGGAAACTGGTGGATTTCGCTGCCGAGAGACTGCCGAGACTGATTTAACGATTGCTGGCGCAAAAGAAACAAGACAAAAAAGAGAAGATTTTGGATTTATCATAGTGATGTTGATGGAGGAGGAAGTTATGATTCAAAAACAATCCCGACAACTTCTGAGAGATGGAAAATTATCCGATATCATTGGGTGAAAGAAATCGACAACGATTGAAGTGTCAATGCTTCTTCCTTCTGGTACAAGGGTAAAAAACTTATCAATTTTTTCTGCAACTCCTGAAACAGAGGCAGAGTTCGTGTAGGGGATTTTCACAAAAATAGTTGAGGATCGTTTTCTTTCTTCTCATTTATAAAGACACTTTTTTTGACGGAAGAACAAATCAAGGCACACCACGACTTCTTCAAGTATCAATATTGATACTTGAAAAATCTTCACTTGAACAGTCAACAAGATTGAGTGGTTAATTCAGGCGTAATGATGCGTGATGAAGCACAGGCATGTCTTTGGAATTTCACATAGTGTATACTGTAACTTGTGAAATTTCAGAATATATTAAAAACGAGTGTAAACGGCTTTGAACTCCACACATTGAAAGTTGCGATAAATGTATCTGAGTTTCACAGGGGTCTCTCTGAGAAATTCAAATGAGCCAGAACCCGCTTTTTATAACTACTTGTTTTAATGTGGATCTCTCCACCTGCCCAGTCAAGGGCGTTTCTTCGTTTTGATTGGCTAGCATTCACTTGGACTTGAAACAGCCAATTTAGCCACAAATTAGGCCTGTTAACAAACACTTTACATACTCGAGCAATTTGTAGTTGACACAAATAGAATGATAATCTTAAAGCTTTGTGATTAAATCCGAAGCCACGCGTATTTGTGCTCATCACTTATTTAAAATCTTGACACGCTTACGGCAGGAAACATGAGAAGGAAAAGTACAAAAAAGAGAGCGACAACTTATGAATAAACTCAAAATAAAGAAAAATTTTTACCTTAACGGTGCAAAGCTTTACAAGCATTTAAAAACAACGAGGCTGCTTCTAAAGAGTGGACATAAATATTGATCCACAGGACTAAATTTATAAAAAAAAAATGAGTAACAATACACAACGATATAAACATCGACTTCAAGTACGCAAAGTAACTAATGAAACATCCAAACACTCACAGGTAATTAAAGCCCAAACGCGATACGCACGAGAGACGCTGTGAAGGCGAGTAAAGGAGGACAGGCGGTTAGCGGCAACATTGATCAAACCTGCTAAGATTGCATACGCTCAATGTGACATAAAAACGGAAGGTATCGTAAATTTAAAGTTAAGTGTGTCAACCTATGATGATAATAGTCAATCGAAAGATCTAGGGCCTCAGAAGAAATGTGCTTAATACAGTAGTAAATGAATGAAAATAGGATCACATCAGTTAAAAAAAAATACATAAAAATAATTGTTGAGAATATGATACGTCTACAGTCTCGACGGGAATCGTCAGAATTTAAGTCTATAAAGATCAATGGGGAACTACTTTCGAAAAATCATTGATTTACTAGATGCTTTGTAGACTATGAATGCTATATTTTATTCTTCCATTATATTAATAAGATTAATTGTACAGGCAGGCGCTGTACATCTAGTGGGCGGTGGACAATACTACGGCCGCCTAAATTTTACCACAGTGGGCACTGGGGCACAGTGTGTGATGATCACTGGACAATCAACGAAGCCAAAGTGGTTTGTTTTCAGCTTGGCTTTTCTGGTGCAACTCAGGCTCGTTGCTGCACTACATACGGTCAGGGGTCATGTCCAATCTGGATAGATAATGCCAACTGCTAAAGAGGAGAAGCAACTTTATCTCATAGCAGAAGCAATGATTGGGGAGTCCAAAACGGTTATCATGGAGAGGATGCTAGTGTGGTGTGTAACATCTGGTTGGGCCGTTCAAACAGTTTTACTCGACTGACAATTACAGCTTGATACAGGAGCAATCTTACTTGTTGTAAGATAGTCTCAATGGGGTTTAACTGTCAGCCGTCAAAATCAGAATAACCGTCATCCTTTAAGGCTGCCCCCAGTCGAGACCCTCCTGTAGTGTCTTCTTTGTTGAGAATTGCAGTAACGTCGAAAGTAGCGGCACATTAGCACAAAGAGAAGCTATCTCGTAGAATTGCATTGCATTCTTTCTTTGCATAATTTCCCTTGTCACCGACGCTCCCCCCATTATTGTCAATGATTTCCCTACCTTTCGATAAAAGATTACAAACACACCCGTATTGGTTTATCGCCCCAATTAGGCCAAGGCCATACACAAACACTTAGATGTACAAAAACAGATAAAATCAGGTACAACTGTACTTCATGTCGCACACACTTGGCGATCGTAACCCCTTAGAAAAAAATACAATTGAAGTCCACTCTATCTTGACGAGTTACACCAGTTTAGAAACGAATTAGAACCAAAATAAGATTATGATTAGAACGATAAAAACGTAATCGGATAAACACTGAAGTCGCCTTCAGCGCTCTAATCGTTTACAAATGTCGGGTTTTTTTTTTTGCGAATACAAGAACGTGTATAATATAATTCCCAACATCTTAGCCGATGGCTCGGAGAAACCGAAGTTCAAAATAGTAGGGTTAGCTGCAAAAATGATTGAGATAGTTGCAAAGATGACCGCGGAAAGGATGCGTTATTTCCAGAAAAGAAGGAAAGGGCGGAGTTTGCCCTAGATGGCCAATAATGAGACAGGCTTGATGACATCAAATATCAATGTCGTGATATTGTGACGAGTCGTTCATATATTCAACAACCGGCTAAACAAAGTCAGGTTGAAAAGTTTCGTGCCACACAAGTATTTCACACCAAGTTTACTGCAAACGTGGCAATTATTCGGTGGACCATGCCTTTAGGAAAAGCTTTCTACCTTCCACAACTTTGTTTCAGTTTTTTCTTTTCGGTTTTGCCTCA